GACGAGACATCTCCACTGATTCAGATGAACACATGTTAAGCCCTTGTCTGTCTTACGCCAGACATTTTCACAACTGAATCTAATTCTTGCGCAAGCTTGAGTTGAGATGAACCTAAGGAGGCTAAACGATGCTATTTATTAATTTAAACAGCCTTTGTTATTTCTAGTTTAAAAGCATACGTACCAATAAACAACTAACCGATGAGCTTTAGATCATTCCATGAACAGGGCGATTGTCTTCATTTTTTGCTTTGAGTCAATGGTAAGATGCTGGAAAATACGAATACTATTTTAAAGGATACAGGACAATGTACGTTCCAAAAGGTCACCCTGATGTATCGACGAAGTTATAAAAACTAGGTCAAAACAACACTATAAAGCTAAGGGAGACTGCGACCACACATCTACCATATTTATCTCTTGTGTCATTTCTACTTAGTTATCTTACAGTAATGTGCGTTGGACCTAACGCAGCTCTGACAGTCTGATACATAATAGATGAAAAATCAAAGGTATGAAGTCCAGGATAGTGTGGCCCTTTATGCGGTCGTGGTCTCCTTTTGTTAAACAGAAGTTGTTTGATCTTGGTTTCGTAACTTGGTAATATTAGCAGAAGGACATTGAGGAAGGCACCTTGTCCGAAGTCCATAGTATGCATGATAATTTCCAAAAGTCGGACCGTGGACTTGATACAATACAAAACGTCTCTTCGGCAACAACAGTGAGTCTTGCTAGTTTCAGCAACAAAACTACAACTCATCAAAAGAAACAAGTGGATTCAATTCCTTGATCAACTTTCTTGGCTAATCATCCGCTTAAGAAATAGCATCTGGAGTAAAAGTACGCTGACGTTAGAGCCGAGTAAAATCGATCAGCCAGAAAGATCAGCCACTCTAAAGGGAGGGGAGCAATGGAAATAACAAGTTGATAACGCCACGCTAAATTACCCAAAGGGCACGAATCTTGTAAATATAAACATGTCAGCAGTCATTATAGGACGAGGCCGAGACTAGAGGTTATGAAACGGATAGAGGGACCAGGACAAAACGAGGAGTGATAGCATAAACGTCTCGACAGAAAGTTGGTAAAGGAATTGACTTCATTTGTCTCTTTGATAAGTCGTAGTTTGGTTGCTGCGACTGGCAAGACTCACTGATGATGCCAAATACGATGCCGGGGAAACGTCTGGGAAGGTACCAAGTCAACGGTCAGACTCTAGAAATGATCATGCATACTATGGACAAGGTGTGTTCGTCTAGGTCTTCCTGCTAATATGACCAAGTTTCGAAACCAAGGTTAAACAACTTCTAGACGGAAAAACAGTCGACATTCTCATGAAATGATTGAGAATGCATTGTCGGCTGCGCCAATGTGTGAAGGCAAAAGCAAAATAATTAAGAACGGAAATCTACCATATAATTTTAGTGAGATCGAATCACATATCTTTTAATAAAGTGCTTTTATAAGAAATTGAAATCACCAGAAATCACCAACCTAGAAAAGTTGGCTAAAGGCATTTTGTATTTAAAGGGAATTTGAGTTAAAACGGACATAAAAAGATTAGTCAACCAAAGATATGCAGTTGGAGTACCTTCCATTTGGTTAGAAGAGACGAGTGAAAGGGATTAATAAGTTGGCCTCACCTGAAGCTGTAAGAGGATTGCCTTGGAATTTTAATTGTAGCTTTGTGCTAATAGGTTCTCGGCTCACCGCCATGCGACCCCGATGAAATCTTGCAGAGCTTTCTTCCGTCATGTGACTGACATCGTCAAAGCAGTACATCATGCTTTACGATAATTCACCAGACACAAAAACAAAAAAGGTGGCCGTCTAAAATCCTCCTTAATTTTTAAAGCTTAGCTAGTTCCACATAGTGAGACATTTCACAATTTGGTTGGATATCTAGTGCTTGTCCTACATGCTGTTAGAAAGTAAAGTAGATGCAAAGCGTGAAACGTATGCAATTGTGATCGAACAGATTCATCCTCCTAAAACACTAATATATTTTTCTAATCAAGTAATGTTTCTACATGCTATTCCATTCCATTTTATGTGTGTTGTGTGTATGCAATGCACATGAGAGGCGTGGGGTTGGATAGTGAAAAGTGGAATTGAGGCTAATAAACCCTTCTCCTTTTGCTCTGCAGTACTTCTTGGTCCATACCTCTCTCTAATTTTATACAACAGCCAAAATTCTTTTCAAGATCATCAAGGATTCATCGGAGTTGCAGGGTGGTGCATTTACCAAATTTGTCTAGTGTCCTGTGCGAGCCATGTGTTTGGCCGATTTTAATTTTTGGACACATCTTTGTAGGCTGTTTTGTGTATGGGTCTATCCCATATAGGCGCAACCAGATGAATACAAAATCTTGTAACAGCCCGATCTGGAAAACGGGTCAGAGTATTAGTGAAAATAAAATAAAATAAAACCAAGTAAGTGCTATTTTATCTTTATAAGTAGTCTTGATGCACCATCTCCTTAGTAAGTTGCCTAACTTCTTCGACAGATTACATGATGGCAACATAAGGATTCTGGTAGAGTGGCCTAGCTTTCTATCTAGCCCAAAATATGTATTTTCCTCCAACCTATTTGTAGAAGAAATGATGTAGGCTTTGGCTGACACTAACACAGGTTACAAATAAATCATGATGTTATATGCATCATGCTTCCCTTATTATTTATAATAATTCTAAGCGGCACTCCATCTTTATGTATTTTGGGCAGACCACGTGCATTCGTGGGTCTAGCATCAGCTTGAACAAGAGTGATCATCATCCACTTCTCCAGTTCCCAGTTTGTTATACAATGCTGGAGGCAATCCCTGACTCTAGACTTAAGGGTTTCTGTAGTCTGCATCATTTTTTCTACAGTTCAACCCATCCATACTTAGCATTTCTCCTCCTTTGAGTGACACAACCCTACACAAGGTAATCAGTAGGGATCATACAGAAACCTTTAAATTCAGACTACTCTGCTATTCGGTAACCGCACTAAGAAAAATCTTAGTTTAATGAACAAGATCGAGTTCATCGAAATTCACCATCGAGTAAGAAAAGGAAGGTGGCTAACCGCTTCTTGATATACTATTCAGCAAAGAGGCCAGATTAGTTAGATATATGTATAGGAAACCCACGAATACAGGTTTTCTTAAGAACTTATTTTCCAACCCCATTTATTCTACAATCTTAGTAGTGTCGCGATTATTAAAGATGGAACGGCATTACAATCAAGAGAAGTGCATATCAGCTGAGATTTAAAATATCTAGGAGTTTCTTATAGTTAAATTAACTTGTCCAGTAAAATGCTAAGAAAAATTTATATCCATGATTATTGTAAGCTCAATAGCTATGCGGAATGGTAAAGCCACAAAAATGAATGAAATTTTCTGATAGTTCAAACAAGAGAAACAGTATTTCAAATTGAATGTAATAAGGATGATCACCGAAAAATCTTTGAGTGAATTTGAGCATGAAGGTGAAGTTGAATAGAGTTAAATAAGGCTGCACTTTTTAGATAAATATTACAATTCAACCACTCATATCTAAGTAAAAAAAATAATCCTTTGAGGATAATAAGGTGCCAGCTATTCATAGTTCATACTTTTAATAAAATGATTAGCGAAACTATCTAATACTCAAAGAAATTAAGGGTAAGTATGTGAGCACATTTCATAAAACTTCGATTGCAAAGTCAATGAAACTGGTAGAAACGCTATAATGACCCAATTAAATTAACACAGATAATAGAGGTGCATGCAGAGGATAGTGAAGGGTACGCTAAAGTAAGATTGGCGAGGTTAAGGGGAACGAGGAACAAGAGGTAAAGAGGCACAAAGTACCAGTCAAAGTAGTGGGGACAAACCTAGCCATGGCGGGATACCCGTGAGCGGCGAGGGAATATTTTCGCACTGACGTGGATCTGGAATTACTGAGCAGAGAGTATCACAACGGATATGAGGACAGCTAAGAGGATGAGAATGAATAGGCTAATGCCATGCTAGTTGAAGAAACTAAGAATATATGCATATATATATATATATATATATATATATGCAAAACTCGAAATAACAGAAAAATAGTTGGAATTAAAAGGTATCTAAAAAAGTAAACCAATTGAAGAAACATGCAGAAAACAAGAAATATTTGAAGAAACTCTCGAAAGAACATCAGAAGATAAACTTACAGCTGGGAAAAACTGCTGTTTTTGTTTCTCGCATCCATCATAAGGTTGATGCCACGACCACCACTACCACTTGTGGTATTTTGATATGTTTTGAGAATATCCTGTGCTCTGTCCTGGAAGTGTCGGGGGATGTTCTGGATGAGTTGAAAGAAGTTTGATGGATTTAGGTCGAAAAGCTTTATTACGACTCGGGAAGCCATCTGGCGAAAACAGATAGGTAAAAAAAGAATATTTGAAGTCTGTAATGCAAGGATTAAAAATAATCAGATACAAATAGACAGAACAAGTTATAAGCATCGGCAGAATAAATATCAGACCAGGTTGAATAAAATCTAGTATGAAAAATATAACGAAGTTAAGTATTATATTGGAAAAAAATTATTTTAAAAAAGAAGCCTTCTTTGAGCATTAATGAGGTAACTAAGGTAGTATCAATAAAAAACGATAAACAAGAAATATTTTCATTATTTAATGTCATTAGAAAATAATTTCGTAATCTTTTAATTATTTCAGCAAATCTTATTCGTATTTAGGTACGTAGGTATCTATGTATGCATCTAGAATCTAATGACGCTTGCAATAATAAAGCAGCTATAAAAAAAACATGGCGATTTGGAAGTAAATATCGGTTTTGAATAGGTTACAAATAAAATGGTGGAGAGCTAAAGTAAATAAAAGAATTTTACACGGCGGACTTCTGCAGATTTGGGCTCAGTCGACCAACTGATTATGCGCGAAACAGCCATTACAGTCTCTGGGTTTGAGTTGTATATTGTATCAGGGCCCATCATTAAAAGAAGATCCTTCATGTGCTCGAGAAGACAGCTTTTCACTCGGAAATCAGGAGTTTGTGTGTTGTCAGAAACATAGCGACAACAAGTGTTGAATTGAAGAACATGAGGAAAATGAGATCTGGAATAATAAGAATGAATATGTAAAATATAATAATTCCAGAGCAGAGTGATAAGCGCAAAGAGGTGTCAGAATGAAGAGCCCACCTGACAACAGCAAGGGTCTCCTGGATAGCCTTTTGATGACTAGCTAAAACCTCGTGTCCTTGCCTATTCAAAAGTCGAATCATCAAAACATAAAGCCAATCATGAAGGACAGAATGGTATTCTTTGATAAAAAGTTGAAGCGTGTCCATGAAAAGCGTAACAACCTAAAATTAAAAGTAGTAAATTTCTAAATATAAAAATTTATTAATTCATTAAGAGAGAATAATTATAATGACCAAAGTTCAAACCAGCAGTAAATAGGTATATATTTTCATGCAGAGAACTATCAAGAGGCTCTATCAAACATTTAATTTTGTTTGAATTTTAATGTATAAGTGATTGGTAAAAAGATTAAATGAAGTCACACTTAAGAAAGATCGTGAAAAAATTTCTAAAGTTAATACTTAAACGAAGGTATGAAGACCAAGATGGTGTGGCCTTTTGCGCGGTCGCAGACTACTTTCTTTGTATAGAGGTTGTTTGAACTTGTTTTCACAACTTACTTATAAACAAAAAATATGTAATGTCGATTATAGTATTAAATAAACTTTGATTCATCGAGAATACGACCAGAGAATGTTTAGTAAAATGTCTGACCCTCCTTTAAGCTCACACTTGTCCTTTGGCTCAAAAGTAGTAATCTCTCAGGAAGGATTTTCGTTTATAAAAGTACCAAATTAGCCTTATAAGGCAGAGTGATATGTTGGGTATTGAGAAAACATTGTAAAACTGAAGGAATTTTTTATATTTAGAAAAAGATTTAGACAGATCTAGTACAACTTTCTTAGTTCGGAAAACTTTCTTAAGCTCCAAAGAATACCGTATAAGCTGTAAGACAAAATTTCTCGTGGAGTAGGAAATTAAGAAATTTTAGTATAATAAATAGCTCAAGGAAACCTGCTATATCTAATGAAGTTGTCTGACCTTATTTTCGCAACTAGGTCATATTGGTAGGAAGACTTAAAGGCACCTAGTCCGGAGTCCATTGTATTAGAGATAGAGAAAGGATAGACAAAGCGGCGATTGTTGCTAGTTGGCTGAAAGTAGGTCCATGTAGTAAAGGCATGACAATGAGACTTGCTCTAAGGCTTTAGTCTCTAATTAATCGCCCAGGTGCAAGGGATGGATGAATTATGCCTCGAATAGCACAGATGGGGAGGGCAGGGGTCAAGTGAAATACATCTACCAGGGAGATAGCAGACGGATTCGACGGGACAAGAGGGAGACTTTGATAGAACCCAGAGAAGGACTACGTTATAATATGACAGAGTATAGTCAACATTCCCAGCACAAGGGTGAAGGGGGTGATAACGACAGTTTGGAGTGTGTAGGGTTATCATGAATTCCGGTCAAAGGAGCACACCACACTAGATTAAAAACAAGCACAGTAAAAAATTGTGACAGGGAAGGCATTATAGGAGGATATAGAAAATGTGAATAGGTCAGACCAGAAGGGGAGATACCATAATTGTTTAGCACACATTTGTAATATGGTGCTACGAATTGCTAGACTCACTGAGGATGCTGACTACGATGGCGGCGAAACGTCTGGAAATGTACCACATCCATAGTCCTACTCTGGAAATGAAGATGCATACAATGGACTCTGGGCTGGGTGCGTTCCTCTAAGTCTTCCTACCAATAAGATCGAGTTGCAAAAACAAGGTCAAACAAATTCTATACAACGAAAGGAGACTGCGACAACACAAAAGGACACACCATCTAGATCTTCATACCTTCGATTATATTTAATGAAGTTGGAAGGAAAGCCTCTGCTAAAAAGTGCTCAATTTGTCAAAACCCCGTTTTAACATTTCTACTAAGGAAGTCCTATGAAAAAGCTTAAATTTTACCTTCCAAAATAGTAGGGATTTCATAGGGGAAATATTGGTAGAATTGATCCGTTTAAAATATTGTTTTCAAGAGGAGACACTAGGAGTGAGGGTAAATCACAAGTTGCCCCTTCAAGTGATGGCCAATTAGACCCACAATAAAGAATAAAACAATTAATACTTTTATAATATCATACAACCGAGATAGTGGTATCGAAAGGTTTGAATTTTGCATTGCCAAAGAGTAGGGATATTAGAGAGGAGATATTAGTGAAACTCAATAGTTTTACCGATCGTATTTGTCACCAACTTTGCAAATAATTAAACGTCTAAATATAAGGAACGCCTAGTTCAGAAGGCACTTTTAAAGCCTAGGTTATTAGTTCGCTATGTGGACGACTTCTGATCTGTTTGGCAACATGGAGAATTATCTTGGTTTGATGAGTAGGATAGGAGAGATCCAATCTCATTTATGGTGTTAAAATTAGAGTTATGCAGCCGTGGATATAAGAAATCCTGCGTCTCGCAGATGTTAATCATCGAGGCCAGCAATTTAGAAGAATAGAGAGAAGTGTACCAAATTGAACTATAGCTAGATAAAAATGGGTTGACCTCGTTGTCGCAACTTGGTCTTGTTGTCGGGGCAAGTTAGTAGAACGCACCTAGTCCAAAGTCGTCTGCCATAGTAGTTGTCATGATTTCCGGCATCAGACAGTAGACTTGGTACATTCTCAAACGTTTCGCCGGCATCATATTCGGCCTCAGTGAGTTTTGCTATTCGCCGAACCAAGCTACGAACGCATCAGAGACAAGTGAAGCCAATCACTCGACAAAGGTTCTGTCGAAAACGGTTATACTATCACTCCTCTTTCTGTCCTGGACTATCTATCTACTCTTTACCCTCTTATT